AGTTAGGGCCCAGCTGGCCCTGATAAAAGAGCTGCAGCCCCAGAAGGCAGGGTAGTCTCATTCTAGACTTGGAGTAGGAAGGGCTAGCTGCCTGGGAGCAAAGTACCTGAAGCAGAGCAGAGCAGAGCAGAGCAGGGGAAGGACAAAAGGGAGCTCTAGCCTGATAAATCCCCAGGCTGCAGGAGCTGCAGAGGGTTAGCCCTGGGATAGGCAGAGGCACCTAATCCTAACCCCTTATCAGTGATGAGTGGCCATTACAGACTGCAGACTGTCCCAGTGAATGGGGCCTAGATGATGACTGGCAGGAGCCACTGAGGCAAGGTGGGTTGAGAGGGTTGGGAGTTCCCCTGGGAGGGGAGACCCAGAGTGCGGGGGTACTGCTGGGGCAGAACCCCAGGGTAAAGGGCACCAGGGTCTGGGAGGGACACGGGGCCAGTAGCAGGCGAAACACTGGCTTGCAGAGGGCACTCTGTAAGCTGGAAAAAGAGCTAATTCCCAGATGACCAGCAGGAGGCGCCACACCGGTGAGTCGTCCCCTCGCGACAGAGGGGACTTGCAGAAGGGAGGAGTAGCGCTCCATATGAACACACAAGTGACATAAGCAGTACATGGATAGATTTTTAGAGAACCCTCCCACCTTCCCAGAAGAGTAACCCTAATAAATGAGCCTACCCCACAGTAACAGGCAAATCTGGTCACAACAAATCTGGTACCAGCACGTCCCAGGCTGTTGTGTCTCCCTCCGCTCCACTCCACCAACAATCCAATGTAAACCAAGCCCATTGTCTCCGAGCGCTGGCTCCTGATTGGCTCCCCGCGTGTTCCGTCTGCGCCCGGCATTCCAGGCCTTCTGGGACGCGGGATCCTGAGCTCTGCAGCCATCGGTGCTGTAGGCCAGGGGCGAGTCCCCTCCAGGCAGTGGCAGATTAATTCCCGGGCCCAGGGGACCCATGCCCAAGGGCCTTGGGCAACTTAGGGGGCCCTGGGAAAATCTCATGATGCTAGGGTAGGATGATTTAGCTGCTGCGCCCTCTCTTCTGCTGGCAGTGCTGGCCATGCGTGGGCAGGGGTGGCAGGTTTGTAGAAATTTTGGTGGTGCCCAGAACTCACCCCTGCCCAAACTCCTCCCCCCACCTGCCCAAGGCCTTGGGAGGAAGTTTGGGTTGGGGAGGAGGTCAGGGGTGCAGGCCCTAGGATGGGGCAGGGGTCTGGAACACATGAGTTATGAGGAGAGGCTGAGGGAACTGGGATTGTTTAGTCTGCAGAAGAGAAGAATGAGGGGGGATTTGATAGCTGCTTTCAACTACCTGAGAGGTGGTTCCAGAGAGGATGGTTCTAGACTATTCTCAGTGGTAGAAGAGGACAGGACAAGGAGTAATGGTCTCAAGTTGCAGTGGGGGAGGTTTAGGTTGGATATTAGGAAAAAACTTTTTCACTAGGAGGGTGGTGAAACACTGGAATGCGTTGCCTAGGGAGGTGGTGGAATCTCCTTCCTTAGAAGTTTTTAAGGTCAGGCTTGACAAAGCCCTGGCTGGGATGATTTAATTGGGGATTGGTCCTGCTTTTGAGCAGGGGGTTTGACTAGATGACCTCCTGAGGTCCCTTCCAACCCTGATATTCTATGATTCTATGATTGGGGTTCAGGCTCTGGGAGGGAATTTGGGGATGGGAAGGGGTGCAGAGGGAGGGGGTGCAGCTTCTGGGAGGGAGTTTGTGGATGGGAGGGGGTGGAGGGAGAGGGCTGTGGGGTGTGGCTGCAGATGAGGGGTTTGGGGTATGGGAGAGGCTCAGGGTGAGAGTAGGAGTGTGGGGGTTGAGGGGCTGTGGAGCTTGGGGTTTAGAGAGGCTCAGGGCTGGGGCAGAGGGTTGGAGTGCCGGGGGATGAGGGCTCTGGCTGGGGCTGGAGATGAGGGGTTTGGGGTGTTAGAGAGGCTCAGGGCTGGGGCAGAGGGTTGAGGGTGGGGTGTAGGGGGGTGAAAGCTCTGGCTGGGGGTGTGGGCTCTCGGGTGAGGCAGGGCTGGGGATGAGTTTGGGGTGCAGGCAGGCTGCTCCGGGCCAGGGGCCAGAGAGGAGGACTGCCCCCAGCCCTTTCCCTGCCGGCAGCAGCGAGCTCTGGGGGAGGAGCTCCCCTTTCTCTCCCCCCAGCAGCACACTCTCCCCCACCACTGTCACTGCATGTGCTCCTAGGGCCCCTCTCAGGTCCAGGAATCTCCCTCGCCTCCCCCGTGGTGGGTGCCGGGGGGAGCTGCGTGCGCCTCCTCCCCTGCTGTTCCCCTGCCTGTAGCTGCACTGGGGGGCGAGGGATGGGGCTGCCCCTTGCCCAGCATGGGGCAGGAGCGGTGACTGAAGGCGAGGGGGCCCCCTGTGCTGGTGGAGGGTCCCGCCGGAAAAGGGAAGGTGTGAGGTGGAAGGGCAGGCTCAGTCAGTCTGCTCTGGGTATCAAGGGAGGGGCACCAGGACCCTGGGGCAGCGGTTGCTGCAGGGAGGCAGCATGGAGCTGCAGGGCAGAGGCAGGGACTTTCTGCTCCAGGGCCCGGGGAGGCGTGCGGGGGGCCGAGGGGTTTTTTTATGCCTCCAGCCTCAGTTTTGAGGCCTTTGCATACCCCTATCCCTGAGTCTCACAATGTAGCATTATTTACCCCATCCTAGTGTGTCATGATGTAACCCCATGTACCTCCCCTGCACCTCTGAGACCATGGTGGAGCCCACCTCCCCATGCACGTGGTTCACAGCCTTGGCATCTTAGTGTGGGTTCTTGCCTTGTCCGTTGTGACAGGGCATTATTCAGCCCGTGCTCATCTGATACGAGGCCTTCTGCAGTACAGTTCTCCCACCTTTGCAGTGGATGAAACACCGTAGTGCTATTTACCCCAGACCATACCTTTAAGATCTTTATGTGTGTTTTCCCCCTCACCCAGCAGGGACTGATGTGGCTCTCTTTACACAGGGCCACAGCTTCCAGCCCCAACTCACTCAGCTACCAATTTCACAAATGAATTGTGGCCCGCCCAAGTTTACTTAACAAAGATGGTCAGTGCAAGCAACTGTTGACATCTCGACTTTTAGAAGTGGGAGAAATTTATCTTGTGAGAAAGTTCCAGTGACATTTTCCCGTCCAATACACCGATGATATAATGCTATAAACCAACTCTGAGACAACTGCACTATTCTCAGCCAGAACAGGCTGAAAGGACCTTCTGTCTGCTCCACAGACAAAGAAGAGACGGAGACACATTCTCATATCCCTTGTCACAGCAGACAGGGCTGTTCACAGACAACTGCTTGGAGACCGGGGTAGCTCCCTCCATAGGCAAGTCAATACACCTGACAGACACAGACACGTTTCCTTCACTGTCACAATTCTCCACACAGGTAAGGTATAGGGACACCCATCTTCCACTATCCTTACGTTTCCAAACTGCTGACTAGACGAAGCCATCAGCTCACAAGGTTCTCATTCCATTCAAGGTGGATTCTGGTGGATTCAAGGTGGAAAAGCACACTTACAGTAAACTCAGAGAGGACTACAACATTCACACTCTGATTTGGTGAGTAATCTTCCTCTTTGAGAAGATCTGCTTAACTAGAGTGATTTAGAAGCCATAATTTGCCCTGAACAGCTTTTACCATTGACTTTTACACTCTCTATGAATTTTTCACTACCACTCCCATACAGAGCATTGGCACAATTTATGGGGCACCCCCTACTGAACTCACAGTAACAGCATTTACATAAAGGGTGGCAGTGTTGGGGTAGATTTGGTTACACCCAGACAACTGCTCGGAGTTATACAACATACCAACATTGCCTTCTCTCACTGGGTCAGTTGTGTAGAGGATGGTCCTTAATGGTCCATCAAGCAGGCTAGGCAGAGCTCACACCAACTTATCTGGGGTGTGACCCAGAAGCATAGCATAAGTTTGAAATACAGACAGTATAGAGCCAATATTCATAAATTTAACCACAAAAATGATACACACATATAGATAGCATCATCATAACCAGCAAACCATAACTGTGTCTTACACACCTCATTTGACCCCCTTTATATAAGATTTGGTGCCACTACAGGACCTTGGTTGCAACAAAGATCGAAACGGTTCAAGTCAATAACGTCACAACAGGTTAAAAGGAATAAATGAGAACACACTTTGTGTTAAAAGGCCTTGTTATACTAATGTTTCACAGTTCATGCCTCTAAGCAGTACTGGAAGTTTTCACAGAAGACAAGACATTCCAAGCCTAACGTGCTGTCTGCAAAGGGAAACTGAGGCACGCTACCATATTGCTTTCACGGATCAATGCCAAGATTCCTGGACTTTGAACAACATTAATATCTACATTAACTTGATGTTAATTGGGTTCCAAACATTTGCCAGAGCTTGTATGATAAAGTAGCTATGTTCTTTAGCTCTCGGCAAGATCACATGAGACATACAAGAACTATGCTGCACGAGCAGATCCAATTCATTATTGTTCAGACCAAATGTTACCTTGAGTTTGTAAAGAGATTCAACCCTGTTATTGAACATGATTCTTATCAACCATATTTGTTATACACTGGTATGGCTTCTAACCCAATACTTGCTGCAGTAAGACCGAGCCAAGGATGGGGAGCTCTTGGGATGCAGTCAGTGATGTTTGTGTCATCCCTTCCTGCATCAATTTTGCAGGAGGAATGTGCCATTATTGATGTGAACTGGGACCATGTAGATCATTGTTGCAACCAAGGTCCTGTAGTGACACCAAGTCTTGCATAAATGGGGTCAAAGAAGGTGTCTAAGACAAGGTTATGGTTTGCTGGCTATGATTATGCTGTCTATATGTGTTTATCATTTTTGTAGTTATGAATATTGAAGTTTGAAGTTATGAATATTGGCTCTATACTGTCTGTATTTCAAGCTTATGCTATGCTTCTGGGTGACACCCCAGACAGCTCTACCTAGCCTGCTTCATGACCCATTAAGGACCATCCTCTATACATCTGACCCAGTGAGAAATGGCAGACACAACTCAGCAAGATGTGCGGGAACATGCCTATGGACAGAACTCTGAGGTATTTCCAGCCCATGTGATGGACAGCTTGTTTTTGGGACAAAGAAAGCAGAGACCACATGGCAAGAGACTATAGAAAGCTGCTGCAGCTCCTCCATCTTGTCTTCAATCCTGCCTCTTACCTCTGGAGGGACTTTGCTACAAACGGAAGCTCTACACAGGGGACTGATGACTCATCCCAGCTGTGGATGTACTCCAGAGACTTGATTTGAACCTGCAGTTTATTCTATCACTCCTACAAGCCTGAACCGCCTGGGGCAGGTGGCGGGTCTGCCACTCTGCGTCTTCTCACAGCTGCCTGCGTGTCCCTGACCCGGCTTTGGCCTGGGGACTTAGAGCCGCTGCCTGGCCACAGTAAGAGCTGTGGGGTTCCGGGGGACTGGGACACAGGCAGGGGCCTGCTTTCACCCAACCTCCACCCCATGTGGGGGGGCAGGCTCCCCAGCCTCGCTGCGGCTTCCAGCTTGGCCATGGGTGGGGCCTTGGTGGGGACGGGACATTGGGACATGGGTGGAGCCCCCTGCTCCTGTTACACACCAAGGGCAAACCAAACCAGCCCAAGAGGGAAGACTTTGAATCATAGAATCATAGAATCATAGAATATAAGGGTTGGAAGGGACCCCAGAAGGTCATCTAGTCCAACCCCCCTGCTCGAAGCAGGACCAATTCCCAGTTAAATCATCCCAGCCAGGGCTTTGTCAAGCCTGACCTTAAAAACCTCTAAGGAAGGAGATTCCACCACCTCCCTAGGTAACGCATTCCAGTGTTTCACCACCCTCTTAGTGAAAAAGTTTCTCCTAATATCCAATCTAAACCTCCCCCACTGCAGCTTGAGACCATTACTCCTCGTTCTGTCATCTGCTACCATTGAAAACAGTCTAGAGCCATCCTCTTTGGAACCCCCTTTCAGGTAGTTGAAAGCAGCTATCAAATCCCCCCTCATTCTTCTCTTCTGCAGGCTAAACAATCCCAGCTCCCTCAGCCTCTCCTCATAACTCATGTGTTCCAGACCCCTAATCATTTTTGTTGCCCTTCGCTGGACTCTCTCCAATTCATCCACATCCTTCTTGAAGTGTGGGGCCCAAAACTGGACACAGTACTCCAGATGAGGCCTCACCAATGTCGAATAGAGGGGAACGATCACGTCCCTCGATCTGCTCGCTATGCCCCTACTTATACATCCCAAAATGCCATTGGCCTTCTTGGCAACAAGGGCACACTGCTGACTCATATCCAGCTTCTCGTCCACTGTCACCCCTAGGTCCTTTTCCGCAGAACTGCTGCCTAGCCATTCGGTCCCTAGTCTGTAGCTGTGCATTGGGTTCTTCCGTCCTAAGTGCAGGACCCTGCACTTATCCTTATTGAACCTCATCAGATTTCTTTTGGCCCAATCCTCCAATTTGTCTAGGTCCTTCTGTATTCTGTCCCTCCCCTCCAGCGTATCTACCACTCCTCCCAGTTTAGTATCATCCGCAAATTTGCTGAGAGTGCAATCCACACCATCCTCCAGATCATTTATGAAGATATTGAACAAAACCGGCCCCAGGACCGACCCTTGGGGCACTCCACTTGATACCGGCTGCCAACTAGACATGGAGCCATTGATAACTACCCGTTAAAACTTTGGTTTTATCCCACTGGCTAACCACAAGTCACACAAGCAATTCCCTTCGACATTCCAGTTTCCCAGTATCACCACCAGTGCCACTAGTTATGGGGAGAAATGGTTATGAAAACCAATACCCCAGTAAAAGAAAAAGTTATTGAACTGGCACTCTCAGTTGGGTCCTGCCAGAGCCAGCATCCTTACAGTGGAGTAGTCGTGCTTGGGTCCACAGAACCAGGTCAATTAAGCTTTGGGTCAGAACCCCACGCTATCCAAATTGGAATTTTGGTATTGAGAGTTTGGTTGGTTAAAGAGCAGTGGCAATGGGTGAGCAAAGAGCATGTGAGGGCCTTGACAAAAAAAGTCCTGAAAGATTTGTGTTCAGAAAAGGGGATAAGTTTTAGAAAGAAAGCTACAAATCAAGAACCACGAGATCTGTTAATGGCCTGTGATCAGAAGGCAGGAGCACAGTGTTTAAGGGAATTGCTTTTGTGACTTGTGATTAGCCAGTGGGATAAAACCAAAGTCTTTCCTGTTTGGCTGGTTTGGTTTGCCCTGGTGTACAATGGAACCCCAGCCTTGGACTGTAACTGCCCTGTTTTAAGTAACTTGTCCTGAGTTGGCAGGTCCTACCAGTTGGGTTCCCCCAGAACCAGCATTGTTACCGCCTGCACACACCCAGCTCAGCAGTTATAAGACTGATTCTAGTCATGAATCCTTGATTGATATCTAAAATACTGAGGCAGCCTCATTGCATTGTGAGCTCCCTGAAGGAAAACACCACCCATAGCAAGAGTAGGAGTACTTGTGGCACCTTAGTGACTAACAAATTTATGTGAGTATAAGCTTTTGTGAGCTACAGGTCACTTCATCGGATGCATTCAGTGGAAAATACAGTGGGGAGATTTATATACACAGAGAACATGAAACAATGGGTGTTATCATACTCACTGTAAGGAGAGTGATCGCTTAAGATGAGCTAATACCAGCAGGAGAGCGGGGGGTGGGGGTAGAAAACCTTTTGTAGTGATAATCAAGGAGGGCCATTTCCAGCAGTTGACAAGAACGTCTGAGGAACAGTCGTGGGGGGAAAATAAACATGGGGAAATAGTTTTACTTTGTGTAATGACCCATCCACTCCCAGTCTCTATTCAAGCCTAAGTTAATTGTATCCAGTTTGCAAATTAATTCCAATTCAGCAGTCTCTCGTTGGAGTCTGTTTTTGAAGTCTTTTTGTTGTAATATTGCGACTTTTAGGTCTGTAATCGAGTGACCAGAGAGATTGAAGTGTTCTCCGACTGGTTTATGAATGTTATAATTCTTGACATCTGATCTGTGTCCATTTATTCTTTTACGTAGAGACTGTCCAGTTTGACCAATGTACATGGCAGGGGGGCGTGGCTGGCACATGATGGCATATATCACATTGGTAGATGTGCAGGTGAACGAGCCTCTGATAGTGTGGCTGATGTGATTAGGCACTATGATGGTGTCCCCTGAATAGTAAAACTATTTCCCCATGTTTATTGCCCCCACACACACTGTTCCTCAGATGTTCTTGACAACTGCTTGAAATGGCCCACCTTGATTATCACAACAAAAGATTTTCTTCCCTCCCCCGCTTTCCTGATGGTATTAGCTCATCTTAAGGGATCACTCTCCTTACAGTGTGTATGAAAACACCCATAGTTTCATATTCTCTGTGTATATAAATCTGCCCACTGTATTTTCCACTGAATGCATCCGATGAAGTGAGCTGTAGCTCACGAAAGCTTATGCTCAAATAAATTTGTTAGTCTCTAAGGTGGCACAAGTCCTCCTTTTATTTTGCGAATACCGACTAACACGGCTGCTACTCTGAAACATAGCAAGAGTGATCATCTCCTATTGTCTAGCCTAAAGAAAACCATTGAGTCATCAGTTTAGCCATAAACAAATCTTTTACCTAAGCTAAAGATCCCCCTAGCGCCCCAAATCCTGGGGGGTTAGCTCCTCAAGTGGGTTACGACCAGTACCCTTGTGACACGAAAGTGGGGATAGGGATGTGCTAAACCTGTGGCAGATAAGGGTTGCAGCTTGAAAGTGCTGCTTGACCCAGCCTATGGAGCCCAGGAACATGTAAGGGTGACAGCTTAAAAGTGCTTGTTAGAGAGCTTATTCCTTCACTCTCCTACTTCCCTGGTCCTTCTCGCATGAACAGAGAGCAACAATACCCAAAGTCTGAAGGTGCAAACAATTCTATGTTTATTGGGGTGAACTTCCAGCAAGCTTAAATCCAAGTTCCTTTTTCCTTATTTTTGAATCCCAACTTACTTCCTATTTGCCCCTAATTTATATAGTAATATTCTTAGCTATACCTTAACCAATCATTCTACTAAAAGAAAAGGAGTACTTGTGGCACCTTAGAGACTAACAAATTTATTTGAGCATAAGCTTTCATGAGCTAAGCTTATGCTCAGATAAATTTGTTAGTCTCTAAGGTGCCACAAATACTCCTTTTCTTTTTGCGAATACGGACTAACACGGCTGCTGCTCTGAAACCAATCATTCTACTGAAATTTACCAAACCATTCCTAACATATTGTAACATGATTAGCTAACCAATTATATCCCACCACCTTATTTAGTTTACACCCAGCAAAATTAATTATACAGCAGACAGAAACAATCACAGAACCAGACAGAGACCATGCAAATAAACAAGAGCAAAGTGGGAACTATAATGACAAAACAATACAGAAGTGAGGATTTCACAACTACATCTATAAAGACATAAGGGTTTCCCAGCTGTGTTCATTGATAAGTGAGTTCTTACCAGACAGAAAACTATCAACCTAAATTTCCTTTTATATCGTCTAGGCTCTTCCCTTTCTCTGGAGGTGATAGATCTACGAACCTGCCACCCCTCCCCACGCATGGCCAGCACTGGCAGCAGAAGAGAGGGCGCAGCAGCTAAATCATCCTGCCCTCGCATTATGAGATTTTCCCAGGGCCCCCCAAGTTGCCCGAGGCCCCTGGGCATGGGCCCCCTGGGCCCGGGAGTTAATCCGCCACTGCCTGGAGGGGTCTCGCCCCTGGCCTACAGCAGCGAGAATACTGTGGGAGACCGTGTCAAAAGCTTTGCTAAAGGCAAGGAACAACATGTCCACCGCTTTCCCCTCATCCACAGAGCCAGTTATCTTGTCATAGAAGGCAATTAGATTAGTCAGGCATGACTTGCCCTTGTTGAATCCATGCTGACTGTTCCTGATCACTTTCCTCTCCTCTAAGTGCTTCAGAATTGATTCCTTGAGGACCTGCTCCATGATTTTTCCAGGGACTGAGGTGAAGCTGACTGGCCTGTAGTTCCCAGGATCCTCCTCCTTCCCTTTTTTAAAGATGGGCACTACTTTAGCCTTTTTCCAGTCATCCGGGACTTCCCCCGATCACCATGAGTTTTCAAACATAATGGCCAATGACTCTGCAATCACATCTGCCAACTCCTTTAGCACTCTCGGATGCAGCGCCTCCGTCCCCATGGACTTGTGCTTGTCCAGCTATTCTAAATAGTCCTGAACCACTTCTTTCTGCAGAGAAGGCGGGTCACCTCCTCCCCATGCTGTGCTGCCCAGTGCAGTAGTCTGGGAGCTGACCTTGTTCGTGAAGACAGAGGCAAAAAAAGCATTGAGTACATTAGCTTTTTCCATATCCTCTAGGTTGCCTCCCTCATTCAGTAAGGGGCCCACACTTTCCTTGACTTTCTTCTTGTTGCTAACATACCTGAAGAAACCCTTCTTGTTACTCTTAACATCTCTTGCTAGCTGCAACTCCAGGTGTGATTTGGCCTTCCTGATTTCACTCCTGCATGCCCAAGCAATATTTTTATACTCTTCCCTGGTCATTTGTCCAATCCTCCACTTCTTGTAAGCTTCTTTTTTGTGTTCAAGATCAGCAAGGATTTCACTGTTAAGCCAAGCTGGTCGCCTGCCATATTTACTATTCTTTCTACACATTGTGATGGTTTGTCCCTGTAACCTCAATAAGGATTCTTTAAAATACAGCCACTTCTCCTGGACTCCTTTCCCCCTCATGTTATTCTCCCAGGGGATCTTGCCCATCAGTTCCTGGAGGGAGTCAAAGTCTGCTTTTCTGAAGTCCAGGGTCCATATTCTGCTGCTCTCCTTTCTTCCTTGTGTCAGGATCCTGAACTCGACCATCTCATGGTCACTGCCTCCCAGGTTCCCATCCACTTTTGCTTCTCCTACTAATTCTTCCTGGTTTGTGAGCAGCAGGTCAAGAAGAGCTCTGCCCCTAGTTTGTTCCTCCAGCACTTGCACTAGGAAATTGTCCCCTTTCCAAAAACTTCCTGGATTGTCTGTGCACCGCTGTATTGCTCTCCCAGCAGATATCAGGGTGATTGAAGTCTCCCATGAGAACCAGGGTCTGTGATCTAGTAACTTCCGTGAGTTGCCGGAAGAAAGCCTCGTCCATCTCATCCCCCTGGTCCGGTGGTCTATAGCAGACTCCCACCACGACATCACCCTTGTTGCTCACACGTCTAAACTTAATCCAGAGACACTCAGGTTTTTCTGCAGTTTCATACTTGAGCTCTGAGCAGTCATACTGCTCCCTTACATACAGTGCAACTCCCCCACCTTTTCTGCCCTGCCTGTCCTTCCTGAACAGTTTATATCCATCCGTGACAGTACTCCAGTCATGTGAGTTATCCCACCAAGTCTCTGTTATTCCAATCACATCATAATTCCTTGACTGTGCCAGGACTTCCAGTTCTCCCTGCTTGTTTCCCAGGCTGGTGTCTCAGTCCCTCAGGAGTAACTGCTACCCCCTCTGCCCCTGCCAGATTTTGTCCTCTGACACCCTGCACAAGTGCCTCACTCCTGGGCTTAACTCCTGCTCCTCCCCCACTCTTTCCTGATTTTGCCCTTTAGCCCCTCTCCTACTGCTGCCTCCAGCTGCTTCACCCCCCCCCCCCCCGACCAGTCAATTTCCGCCCCCTGCTCAGACCCTGGCCACCCTCCTACTCCATTTTGCCCCCTTTGCCCCTTTTTAACCCCTGTCTAAAGCCGTCCACAGAACTTTATGGATAGTAAGGGAAGGATGAAGGGCAGTGGCTTCAGAGCACTTTATTACACTACACCTTGCTGGATGGTCCCGCGGGCTGCAGTTTGCCCACCTCTGGGCTAGGTGGACCTTTGGTCTGACCCAGTATTGCCATTTGGATGTTCCTATGTCAGTACCCGACCTGCGCCTAGGGAAGCTAATGATCCAACCAGGATCAAATTCCCTGCTGAATCCTGGCCAGCTGCCACCTGGGGCACTCTGCACATTGGCTAGGAAGCAGCTCTCTGCTCAAGGCTGAAGAGGCAAGGCACAAGGCCAGCGCTGAGTGCCTGGACTCCCTCCTGCTGGGGGCTGGGCCTGGTGACTTCTCAAGGTCCCCTCCAGCCCCGCCTTTCTGTGATTCTCTCCCACCTGCTCTGCCTGGCCGGGCGGTGGTCTTAGCACACGCCCTCCGCCCAGGGGAGCCAGGCTGAGGGGCAGCAGGAGGCAGGGAGCTCGCCAGCCAGGCAGGAGACCGTTCTCGCTCTACGGTGCTGCCCCGCCTTTCGGCTGCCTGCCTTTCCCCCGCGGAGCTGGCAGCAGGGGGGCAGCAGACACTGTGCCCGGGTGCAGCAGGAAAGGGGGACAGTGGGCAGCAACGTGCCCCGCTCCCCACCCCACCAGAGACTCGGTGTCAGCTGTCCGGTCCCCCTTAAGCCGCCTCCCCGCGCGGCTGTGATTCCTGGGCGGGTGCAGCGCCGGGAGCGGAGGGGGCTGGCGCGCGGCCCCGCCCTGCTGGGTTGTACCTGCCCAGCCGCGTCAACTTCGTCCCAGCTGGGTCCGGAGGGGGCGCGTGGCGTGGGGCAGCCGGGGCCGGCCGCAGGAGGGGGCAGGCTGGTGCCACGGCTTGCAGCAGCGTCGGGGCTTTTCCCCCTTCCCGTCCCGGGGCAGGGCGGCCCCGGTGGGATCCAGGCTGCCCTGTTTCCCTTGGGAGTCTGGGGTTCCTCCCCGCCGCCCCACCGCGTGCCAGGAAGAGCTGAGAGAACTTTCTCCTGGCGGTGGGTTGTGTCCCAGGCTTGTCATGCTGCAGACGGGAGGCGTTTATGCCATGAAAGAGAGGAAAAAGCCGGTGCTGAAAAGGTAGGTGTGTGAGAGAGAGCAGCTCCCCTTCCCGGAGCGTGTGTAAATCGCCTGTGCTCACCCCGGGGCTTTACAGGGCTGTCTGGGCTCTGCTGGGTAGGTGCTGATGCTGCTTCTGTTTGCTTTAATCAAAAGGCAGGGGTTTCCTCTGCCCCTAGCTCCTGCTCACTCCAGTGCTCAGGCAGGTTGTCCCCTGGCTCCAGTTCATTTCCCCAGTCCCCTCGGGTCACCCCCGAGCGGGACTGCACAGACCTCACAAGCCTTGGTTCTCTGCTGTCTCTTTATTCCCTCTTCGGCTCGCTTATGTCTAAAGTATTTGCTCCATAACTGGTTGTAAAATACACTCAGAGAGAAGCCTGGGTCTCTGGGATGGGGCTGCTGAAATAGTTTGCGGCTTCTCTGACGTCATTTAAATCCCGTCTGGATTGTACTGTTTGGCTCTGAAATTCGAAATTGTCCCAAAGACCCACACAAGAGTTCTCACTGAATACATGTGCCTCCCCGGGTTCACTTAGCAGCTCCGCTCCAAAGACAGGTTGACTCTTAAAAAAGCAATTCCCAGGGAAGAAAGAGAGCACAAGGGTGTTGTTTCCTGGTTTGGGAATTCTAGTCAAAATCCTTTCCAGGTTTTTTAAAGTTATAAATTCTATTTGGGGCTGTGAGAACTTGACAGAAATCTCCACAAAATGAAATGGGCAGTGATTTGTGGAAAGTTGGGACATTTGCTCTAAGTAATCTAAGGATGACAATCCAGGCTCTGGGCCAGGTTCTTAGGATGCCCTACAAGTAGATCAGCTTGGTGGAGACACTGGGCTATTCTTGTACTAATAAAATGAATCAGGTTTTTCTGTCCAGTGCCCTAGAGGAAAGACGATTCCTTCCACTGGAGCTGCAGAGAGAGAGTTGCTGGAGTGATAAGTCAGGGCAAAAGATAATGGCTCTGATTCTCCACTGCTTTGTACCTGTGCAGTCACTAAGGCTGTGCAAAATTCTTTCAGATCAGAAAGATGAGTGCTTCTCTCTCACTTTGCATGGGTGTAAATGATTCCACAAGTTTTGGGGAAATGGGGGATCAGGCTTCCCCTGCTGTCCCCTTGAGATTTCCAAGCACTTGCCATTTCAAAATGTCTACTGGTTTAGTGTTGAAACATTATAATATAAATGTTTTATATACATATCAGATTATTACTCATATATTATATTAAACTTAATTTTAATGAAATGCACTGAAACAATAAAGTTGAAATGAAACAATTTGACATCATCAGAATGATTCATTTTGACTTTTTCCCATAAAAAAAATTCATTTAAATTGACACATTTTCTGATGGAACACTGTTCTTTCAGAAGTTTTGTGACTAACTCTACACGTGACCATGTCCCAGACCCAGAGCATTCAGGGTATCTGGCAGTCCCTCCTCAGAATGTGCCAGGACTGGAAGACAGATAGTCATAGGTATGGCAAAGTTTAGAAGGAAGGAAAAATATGCCATGCTGTGCCTTCTGATGCATGTGGTTCAATGTATGATGCTAGCTGATAACGATAGCACCCCCTATTGGGAAAATATTTGTTGTAGCACAGAGTGGGGAGCCTCCTACTACTCACTCCTTTGGCCAATGAAGGAGCAGTGTTGATGGGTACTCCTGTCCAGTTGCTGGCAGGAATGATTGCAGTTTGTGTTTGTTTGGGTCATACTAATGGAGAACTAAAGAGATTAAAGAGAGTGAAATGGCGTAGTAGGGGGTCTCATGGCCTTGACTGGGACACAGGACCTCGCCAGACCAATCTGTAATGTATTAGCCCTGCAGAAAAAAAATCTCAAGTACTAGTGTAGAAAAACTTGCTGTAGGAACTCCACCGAACCATCTTAAAATGGGAGAAGTAGGCTGTCTAGTTTGGATGTGGAGGGACTTCTTCATTTCTCATGCTGGGAGCTGGAGGTGCTTATGAGCATAATTGCACTGTTCTCTTTAAATCTGGAGTAAAAAGCCAGGCTGGCAGGGTTGGGGAAGGTTCTAAGCACTACAGTATAGCAGGGGCAGAGTAGTTTTAAGGATGATACTGGCTTCCTGATTCTAACACAGACCCTTGTTCAATGTGTGAAGAAAGTGTCTTTCGGTGGTTTTTCACCAGGGTCACATGGCAGTGCTTTTATGCAGTGTTAAGGCCAGTGTGTATGGGGAGAGGCAGGAGTGGACTGCAAAGAACGTTAGTGTAACTTGGTATTATGAACTATCTTGATGGTCAACATTTTCTGGTAGGAATTAGGATTTTATTTCTTCCAGAGAGAAGTGATCACAATTTAGAGTTAAATGAGGCAATCTGAAATAATACCCAGCCCTTATAAAGCACTTTTCACATGTAGATTTCAAAGCACTTTACAAAGGAGGTCAGTATCATTATTTTGCATCTGGGAAACAGGCACAGAGAGGTGGGTCAAGCAACCAGCCCAAGATCACCCAGCAGGCTAGCAGCAGAGCTGGGACTCCTGAATTCCAGGCCAGTGCTTTATCCACTAGGTGAAGTTTTTAGAACATAGTGAGGGCTTGAATCTCCGTTCTCCAGCACTTTGCAGTCGTTTGTATTAGTGCTAAGCAGGTGGCAAACATTGTCAGATCACAATGGTCGCATATTAGGCCCACTTAGCCCTGGTGAAAAGCACCACTCATGGAGCAGGGCACTGGCAAATCAGATTGGTTTAGGACACAGGTTGTTGTTGGTTTAAAAGAAATAGCAGTTGCCAAGAATGTCAGCTGTATGATGTGTGAGTGGTGGACGTATGGAGGTGATTCTCTTGAGGAGAAATAGTTATCCTTTGCATTACAGCTGGATTAAATACTGCTTTGAATCTGCGTTACTGTGTGTGAGTGGGCTGGAGAAACCAGATTCAAGAGGACTAGATGGGTGACAGGATGGGTAATGAGCTAGGATATCATCTCCCAGGTTGCTGTGTGAAAGTGACACAGTGAATTACCAAGCAAAATAAAATAAAACACGCAAGTCTAAGTCTAGTACAGTAACAAAACTGATTACAGATAAAATCTCACCCTCAGAGATGTTTCACTCTAGGTGACAGTTGCCTTTAAGAGAGGAGCTGGTCTTGCTCCAGCTCCACAGTGGATGTGTGTGCGCTTCACAGATGCCACTGCCATGGCAGCCTCAGCAAAGAGGACAAGCAGGGAAGTGACTGTGAAGTTGCACTCTATATGATTTTATAAAAATATGCTAATGAGTGTGAATATAATGTAACTGGAATATGCTTCATGCAAAAGGTCTCTTGTAAGGTATCATTACAAAGCTTATAACCTACTGAGCGTGGTCATCCTATTTGTATAAATGTATCTTTCTTGTATCTGAAACTAAAAATATGAAATATAACTCTGAGGTCCTATTGTAGTTATGCAAAGTGTGGGGCCATTAATGGTGGTTTGGAATCTTAATGGCTCCCATTAACCAGGACAATTGGCTGTAGATGGCTCTGTTTTACTTGTAAGTCCTCCTGTATAGTGTGTGCTGGCAAGTGGATAGTGGGTTCTTACAGTGACATGTGATCGTGTCATCTGAACTGGAATCCATCTTTAACCTGGTGTTTTTCCATTGAGAAGGAGGGGTGGGAATGCAGAGGGACAAAGGATTCCCGCCTTATGCAAAAGATATATAAGTGGGTAGAACAGAACAAAGGGGGCGGCCATCATGAGAAATCCCCCAGCTACCGCCTGAGCTGGAACAAGGGCTGTACCAGGGGAAAGGATTGGGCCCAGACTAGGAAGAAGTCCAGTCTGTGAAAGAAACTTATTGAAACATCTCTGAGGGTGAGATTTTATCTGTAATCAGTTTTGTTACTGTACTAGACTTAGACTTGCGTGTTTTATTTTATTTTGCTTGGTAATTCACTTTGTTCTGTCTGTTACTACTTGGAACCACTTAAATCCTACTTTCTGTATTTAATGAAATCACTTTTTACTTATTAATTAACCCAGGGTATGTATAAATACCTGGGGGGGGGGGCAAACAGCTGTGCATATCTCTCTATCAGTGCTATAGAAGGCGAATAATTTATGAGTTTACCCTGTATAAGCTTTATTCAGGGTAAAATGGATTTATTTGGAGTTTGGACCCCATTGGGAGTTGAGCATCTGAGAGTTAAAAGACAGGAACACTTCTTAAGTTGCTTTCAGTTAAGTCTGCAGCTTTGGGGCATGTGGTTCAGACCCTGGGTCTGTGTTGGAGCAGACTGGCGTGTCTGGCTCAACCAGGCAGGGTGCTGGAGTCCCAAGCTGGCAGGGAAAGCAGGGGCAGAAATAGTCTTGGTACATCAGTTGGCAGCCCCCAAGGGGTTTCTGTGATCCAACCTGTCATAGTGACATAGGACTGAACTGTCCTTCCACCAGCAGCAGTGGACGGGTAGTCTGGTCAGGTCAAGATGAGACATAAGGGCAGGGCTGTAAAGCTTCAGATCTGAGCAAATTGGAATTTCCCTGGTATACACTTTTTACTTTATGAGTAAGCAGTCTGGTTAAAGTGGAAGCCCAGCTCTTCTGTACAAGCTGTCCCTCTCCCTATGATTTCTGCAGTGTCTAATGAACAACCTGTGCCTCTTTACAACATCTTCTCATCCATGGAGACCTTGGGAGTTCCTTGTGTGTTGAGCCAGGAGCATTTAAGAGGAAGCTATTGTAGAAGCTGTAAATTTAAGCCTTCTTCCTAGTAACCTAAATTTAGCTCCCTCTTTCTGACACTTACCTGCATCATTGGTGAGTAGGTACCATAGATTCCTCCACAGAGCACTCTCAAGGTTCGTCTGGACGCTACAAGAGATCCTTCACTCTTGCACCTGATTGGCAACTCACCAAAAGGCTCCCACTGCCTCATCATACTCAGTTATCGTTTTTTCTAAGGAGAGCCTCTTGTATCATTGCAGTCTGCCTATTTCTCCTAACTGTGTCCCCATCTCCTGGAAGGATCTTCTGCGTGAATAATGATCTTCTGCCTTTACTAG